TGAACTTCTGTGGGTCCTTACCAACTTGCAAACCTAAAAACATAGGCGGATTCATCCTAACAAAATCACATACTTTGGCTGCCACTATTCGGTCATTTTTATTAGTAGGAACTAGAACCTACTAATTGTTCTGGTTGGTCATACTCTGAGCCAAAATCTGAATTGGAGTTCTGAAACACTTCATTTGAACTTCCTTACCTTGTACTAGAGGAACTGTGTTAGCATTGCGTGAATTAGCATTCCATGCCTAAGCTTTACAAGAAGGCATGATCTTAAGCGCACAACTTCAAGTAAGAATGGAATTTGATCATACCTTACGCACAATAAGTGTAACAAGAAAATGAAGTTTTTCCTAAAACACTTCATAGCCTCTCTCTTATTAGAAGTGGTGCACTTCACACCAATGAAAAGGACTCTACTTAGTGCAGCTTTTCAGATATCCTAGGACACTTAAACCTAGTGCTTTGATACCAAGTTTTATCATGCCCCGAGCTACCCTGAGACGCGGACACGGAACCTAGGACCACAAGTGATCCCAAGCTAACCTTGTTGACATGATCATGAGCATACTAAATATAATAAACTAATGCCAAATCAAAATCATAATTAATAATAAAAGCTGGGGAATACCCATATTCTATAACTAAGATATTTGAAAACAATGAGTTTAATACAAAGGAAATATTAGCTTAATACTAAGCTGAATCTAAATATGAATGAAATAAGCCTCTAAACTGGACTAGAAATACTGGGACAAGCCCCTTGTAACAACACTAAAAGTGGCATTGCTAAATAATGCTTAATGTGTGCAGAATTCCTACAATTAGATTGGGTTCACATGGATTGATGCGCGTAGAACCCAACTTCTGAACCCTTGTATAACAAAATACAACTAACTTGGGGAGTTAGTGGAGCTAGTAAAGGTTGGGTCCATCCATGTGGGTTTCCCGAATAAGAAGATTTAACTGAACGAGTCTTTACCGAATTTAAAAAGGCGAAATCTTAAGTTTTGAGGATATTGGGGTAGAATGGTATTTTTCAAAGATAAGGGTAGTATTGTAATTATCCTAAATATGTAATAAATTATTTAGTTAATAAGGTGGAGGGGTACTTTAGGGAGAGAGGGCCAAAAATTTTCCTTTGAGGTGAAGTCTTTCTCCACCCGGGTTTGAACCGTGGTGGAAGCAATGATTTAAATTGTTTTTATTTAAATTGGTAATTGATTTAATTTGTTAATATTTATTAATTGATTTAAAATAAAAGGGAAATCAGATTTTACCATTTAACTAAATCTAATTTGACTAACTCCTAAACTAATCTCCTAATCCTAAGAAAAGTCTCCTTACTCTCATCTATCTCAACACACGATCATTCTCTCTTTTCTCATTCACGTTCTCTCTACCTAAACGACTAAAAGAACAGAAAAACTACTAAAGTCCTGAAATTTAAAGAACTTAAAAGAAAAATATACACAAACAAATTTATCAAAAATGTTTGGAAAAAAGGGAAGGTGTTCCATCGAATTTGATGTTGAGCTTTCGGTTTGGAAGTGTGTTTGGAGGAGTTCTTTAGGAAGAAAGTCATTGTTTAAACGTCAAAAAGGTATGGGTTCTCTTCTCTCTTTGTCCCTTTCGCAAGAGACCCCTAAGGTTCAGACGAATTTATTCCGAAAACTAGGGTTGTTCCTCGTTGCATGTCCATTTCACTAGCTTTCATCGAACAATGTATTGTATTTTCGTGATGATTATATTTATGTGTGTATGTTTGAAATTATGTGAATATTGAGCATGTTTTCCGAAAATAAGTGAAAAATGATGTTTGTGCAATGTGTAGCCCCGATATACACTATTGGATTCAATTTCGAAAAATTGCATGTTTGTGGTTGTATTTCATGTGCACAAACTTGCTTAATCGTGATGTTCATAAGTGATGGAAAAATGATGATTTAAGTGCAAAATAATAGTCAAATGAATCCATGAAATTTCACCTAAAGAACTAACTAAAAACTACTTGAAATGTCTAAAAATTTAATGTGAAAGAGGTGAGAATCTAGGCTGCAAAAATTTCTAGCATCTTGTTGATGAGTTTTGGCAAAGCTAAGGGGATTATCATTCTATGTAAAAATGAATTAAAATATGTGAGGCCAGTGCGAATCGAACCCGTGACCTCACCATGTTAAAAATCATTGAAATAATTTGAGAAAAAGTGAATGTGAAATGTGGAATCTGAAAATGAAATAAAAATAATAATACATGAGAAAAGTGGGAATCGAACCCACAACCTCTCAATTAGATTTAAGGAGGAATAAAAAATAAAAATAAAAGGTTAATGCATTTGGGAATCGAACCGACGACCTCTAGGCAGAACCAAGGAAAATTAAGGAGAACAAAATTAAAGTGGGGATGTGGGGGTTTGAACCCACACCCCCTCGGCCAAAAGGAGAGAAATTAAAGAGAAGGAAATAAAAATAAATTGAGGTTTTTGGGGTTCGATCCCACATCCTCTGAGTCCCAATGAGCAAAATTTAAAGAGAGAAATTTTGGGGGAAAATAAAATGGAGGCGTTGGGGCTCGATCTTGGACCCCGAGTTGTGTGGATTAAACTAAAATTAATGAAAATGTAAGTGTTGTCCAAGGGATTTGAAATTGGGGTCCATTGCCCGAATTCCATATTGATACATATGTCATACGTGAATATATGTTCAAATAATACTGCCTACATAGATCGAAATCAATGATCTTAACATACATATAAGATACATAAGTCTTGTACCACGTAATTTTAGGAAGATATGAATCACTGAAACGAACTATAAATGAATCCTCATGGCTTGTATGTATAGACCCATAGGTCTAGCATACGTTTAAAAGTAAGTGAACCTAAGATGTTTGTAATGAAATGATGAAACCCTAGAAGGGTTAAGTAAGTGTGTTAAACACACTAAATGTCCAAGTGCATTGGCATATGATGAAATGAACATTCACGTAATAACGGGTGAGTAATTATAAAGAGCAAATGTGTTAAAGTTAATGAATGTGGTGACAACATGATAAGAGACTGATGTAAAATATGAGAGCAATCTCAAATGAGCCTAAGTGAATGTTATCAAAACGTACTCACCTATGAGAGTGTCAAGTTAATGAAGAGATGAGTCTCTATGAACACTCTAATGAAATTATTGAGAATAATATACTTAATACTAATTATGAGATAAGAAATTATAAATTGATGTATGATGTCCTCATACTAGAAGCCAACTTTCATGACGTATGAGTATAATCTAATGGAACTTTATACTGAGCACAGATATACTAGCTATGATACATGATACCTCTCTTAGGAATGGCGGAGGTTCACGTAACTCTAATGAGATGAGACTGTCCGGCTTGTCGGGTATGGGTCTTCTTATATCTCATAGTCTTGGAACCTATACAACCAATATAGGGATCTGGCGGGGTTCGATTCCCATGTACGCTAGCATGTTTTGGGTCACTTTGGCCGGTGATTCCACTTATTTTAGGTGTGGGGGAGACACTGGGTTTGAGGATGCTTATATGATCTATGTCGGTTAAAGTTGAAGTTCCCCATGAATGAATGAGGCTAGCCTCAAATGATGTACACAATAGAAATGAATGATACCAAAGGTGTTCGGATAGGATAATCAAGAGTTGAGTTAGAACTAAGTAATGAAACTAGGTAATTCTTGATCATTCCATAGCAAACCTGATGATAGTCTTAAACTACATCCTAGGTAAAGTTGAGGTCTCACACTAACCTATGAATGAAATAAAGTGAAGTACGTATGATGCAATGAAGCAGACTCTGTATTTTCTAATTAAGGCTCCCTAGTTGAGGTCCAATATGTTGAGCCCTCATTTTAGGAAAGTCTTAATGTCAAGACCATCATTTCAAGGTCTCATGGCATACAAGTGGACGTTTCTACTATCCGGACGTGGAGCTTTAATCCGGACATGGTAGACACTCATGATTCGAGAATGTCTACTATTATTATCTAGCTTAGATGTAAGCTATAGCTAGTGGAGCATGTTAGACAAGTATTTTTCCCACTTTTGTTCATAATTTGTATTGGTGCCGTTTTGGAAAAAATACGTTTAATAAAACTATTGAACTAATTCTTCCATTTGATTATCTCTTTATTAGATTATTGATTTGCAAACGCCTATGATGTTAAGTAGTATATCTACATGTATGTTAAGAAACAAAAAATTTCAAATTTTTCGCAAAAAATAACCAAGATGAAGTAATGAAGACATATGCAGGCTTATCTGCAACCTCTAAGAGGTCTACGATCCAAGTCTCTTCTGGGGTCTAGATTTCGGAAATGACAAAGTTGGTATCAGAGCTTTAGGTTAAAATACGAGGATAATAAGTTCACATCAACCACATCGACTAGTTTCTATGTCATGGTAGTGAAGTGCACCACTATCCTGAATTACAGACTGGATGATGTGTTTGAAAAATTCCCTTTTTTTATATTAGTGTGCCTTTCCTAATGTATGATATTCTTGGTGTTATGAGCGTGTATAACATCAATCCTTGTTGTTTTCTGAGAATGAATACTAGGAGAATAATTGGTCAAAGGAGAGGATGAGCAGCTGGTGGGGGCAATCAGATTACACCCCAGGCTCCAGCTGAAGTAGTGGCTATGCCGGTTAACCCTGCTGGGTTGACTGGTTGAGGTGCGGGCATCTCTGGTCCAGATGGCACAGGCTTTCACTATTCAGGACCAGGACATCACCGTCCAGGTCAATCAGCAGAATGTTTAAAGGGAAGACCCACCGGTTCGTAGCATGGCTGAAAGGCTACGAGACTTCACGTGGATGAATCTTCCTATTTTCACAGGGTCCAAGACTTCAGAACAGCCTTAGGATTTGGTGGATGAGGTGCATAAGATTTTGGTGGCTATGGGGGCCACAAATATTGAGAAAGTAGAGTCAGCTTCCTTTTAACATAAGGATGTTGCACTGCCTTGGTGCAACATGTGGCAATATAGCCAAGTTTTGGGCGGAGTTTCGATCATTTTGGAGTTGGTTCAGACAGCCTTCCATGAGAGATTCTTTCCTAGAGAGATGAGGAAGGCCAAGGTTGAGGAGTTTATCAACCTTAAGAAGGGATCCATTGCAGTCAGGGAGTATTCCCCGAAGTTTGTTAAACTGTCCAGGTATGCTACATCCATTGTATCTAACAATAAGGATGATATGAGTAGGTTCCAAACAAGAACCAATGGAGATTTGGAGGAGGTGTGTCGGTCTACGATTCTCCACGATAACTTGGACCTCTCTAGGTTGATAGTGCATGTCTAGCAGGTAGAGGACAGCCGTAAGAAGAGAGGATTTCGTGATGCTAGGAGGCCTAAGCCTCAAAATCATGCAGGTCCTAGTAATGAAGGCAACAGAAATAATTTTTGCATCCGTGAACAGCCCAAATTCAAAAAAGGGCAACAAAGTTCAGGGAACTGTAACTTTCAAAAGAGTACAACACCTAGAGAAGGCGTAGCCGAGCACAAGAAGGGCAATGGAGGTGATATGCATCGTCCCAGTAAGAACTGTACTAAGTGTGTCTGTGCTCACAGTGGAGAGTGCAAATAGGGAACTACTACCGGTTTAAGCTGCGATAAGAGCGGACATATGGTAAAGGACTTCCCACAGAACAGGGTTCATGCTGGAAGTAATACTCACCCTACGCCTAATCCACATGATGCAACAACATTTGAGCCTCCTAAGAGAAATTGGTTTTACGCCCTTAAGGGTAGGAAGGAGCAAGAGAAGTCCGCGGATGTGATCTTAAGTATGATGCAAGTATTCTCTACTTCTGTTTATGCTTTACTTGATCCAGAGTCTAAGTTTTCCATTGTAACACCTTTGCTTGCTCTCACTTCTGAGATATTTCCTGAAGTTCTACATGATCCTATCTTGGTTAGTACACCTTTAAGAGAAAATGTATGAACTAATAGAGTATACAAGGATTGCCCAATAGTTTTTTGTGGTAAGACTATGTGTGCAGACTTGGTTGAGTTACCCATGCATGTTTTTATGTTATTCTTGGTATGGACTAGCTTCATAGTTTTTATGCTTGCATGGATTGTCATAGTAGGGTTGTGAGAGTTCGTTTCCCTAATGAAGAAGAGCTACTCTAGGAGGGGTATAACTCAAGTCGTCCTAATCCCTTGATTTCTAACCGTAAGGCCAATAAAATGATGTCCAAAGGGTTATTGTGTCATCTTGTGAGTGTTAACGATTTAGATCATTACATTCCTTCCATAGAATCAGTGCCCGTAGTGAATGAGTTCCAAGATGTATTTCTTGATGATTTTACTGGAGTTCCTCTCCCTCGAAAGATTGACTTTGGTATCGACTTAGAACCCGATACGAAACAATATCAATTCCGCTGAACAAAATGGCTCTAGCTGAACTCAAAGAGTTGAAGCTGCAGTTAAAAGATCACACTGATAAGGGTTTCATTTAGCCGAGAATATCCCCTTGGGGCACTACAGTGTTGTTTGTGAAAAAGAAAGATGGAACCCTTAGAATGTGTATCAATTATCGTCAGCTCAACAAAGTCACTATCAAGAATAAAAATATTCACTTCCCAGAATAGACGACTTGTTCAACCAACTCCAAGGGTCTAGTTTCTTTTCGAAGATTGATATTCGTTCAGGTTACCATCAGCTTAGGGTTGAGGTAGAGATATCCCAAAGACAACCATTCATACCCGTTATGGTCACTATGAGTTTCTAGTTATGTTATTTAGTCTCATGAATGCAGCTGCTACATTTATGGATCTCATGAATAGGGTCTTCCATGAATACCTTGACACTTTCGTCATAGTATTAATTGATGACATTCTCATCTACTCTAAGACCAAGGAAGAGCATGAACAACATTTAAGACTAACCTTGCAGGTACTTAGACAACATCAGTTGTATGCCAAATTCAGTAAGTGTAAATTTTTGCTTAGATTAGTGACCTTTCTTGGTCATGTTGTGTCCGACAAAGGTGTAGAGGTAGATCCTAAGAAGACTGAAGTTGTTAAGAACTATCCAAAACTTCTTACTCCCATAGATATTCGTAGGTTCTTGGGATTGGCTGGTTATTATCGTAGGTTCGTGGAGGATTTTTCTTCCATTGTTGCCTCACTAACAGCTTTGACTAAGAAGAAGGCCATGTTTGAATGGACGGATACTTGGAAAAGAGTTTCCAGGAGCTCAAGGATAGACTCACTTCTGCCCCAGTCTTTACTTTACCTAAGTGTGGTGAGAATTACACTATTTATTGTGATGCATCTAGGATTGGTTTAGGTTGTGTTGTTATGCAGCGTGATAAGGTGATAACTTATGCGTCCAGATAGCTTAAGGTTCATGAAAAAAATTATCCCAGTCATGACCTGGAGTTGGAACCTGTGGTGTTTGCACTAAAATTGTGGAGGCACTACTTGTATGTAGTGTATGTGGATTTGTTCACATACCATAAAAGTCTCCAGTAAGTGTTCACACATAGGGAGTTGAATCTACGTCAGCAGAGGTGGTTGGAGCTGTTGAAGGACTATGTCTTTAATGTCCACTACCATCAAGGTAAGACTAATGTTGTAGATGATTCCTTGAGTAGGAAAAGCATGGGAAGTACAACCCACGTTTAGGATGAGAAGAAGGAGTTAGTGAAAGATATACACATACTGGATAGACTGGGTGTGCGGTTAGTTTACTCTACTAGTGGTGGTGTTTCGATTCATCCTAGTTAAGAATCATCCTTAGTAGTTGACGTCAAGGAGGGTCAGCATCTTGATCCTGTGTTGATGGAGCTGAATGACACTATATTAGTTAAGATGAATGAGTCTTTTACTTTGGGAGATGACGGCATGACACTATATTAGTTAAGATGAATGAGTCTATTACTTTGGGAGATGACGGCATACTTAGGTACCGAAACATACTTGTGTACCAAATATTGATGATTTGCGGACCATGATCATTGCAGAGGCCCATGGTTTAAGAAATTCCATAAAACCATGTTAAACCAAGATGTATCATGACTTTAAGCATATCTATTGGTGGGATGGCATGAAGAGGGATATTGCAGAATATGTTGCCAAGTGTCCTAATTGTCAATAGGTTAAGGCAGAACATATTAAGCCTGACAGTCTTACTAAAATTATTGAGGTTCCAACTTGTAAATGGGAGGCCATTTATATGGACTTTGTGGTTGGTTTTCCGAAGACTAGGAGACGGCATGACTCCATGGGGTTATTGTGGACAAGATGACTAAGTCTGCCCACTTTTTCCCTATGAAGTCTACTTACAGAGCCGAGGATTATGCGAGATTCTACAATTATAAGATTGTGAGATGGCATGGGATTCCTTTGTCTATCATTTCAGATAAAGGAGCTCAAATCACTTCATATTTCTGGAGATCCTTCCAGAAGATCTTAGGCACACACGTGAAGCTTAATACTACATTTCATCCTCAGACTGATGGGCAGGCATATCACACCACTCAAATATTGAAGGATGTGTTGAGGGCGTGTGGGATTGACTTCAGGGGTGACTGGGATGACCATCTTCCTTTGATAGAGCTCTCGTTTAATAATAGCTATCACTCCAACATAAGCATGGCACTATGTGAGGCGCTTTATGGTAGAAGTTGTAGGTCTCCAGTTGGGTGGTTCGAGGATTGAGATTCATCTATCTTGGGTCCAGAGATCATTCATGAGGCTTTAGAGAAGGTCAAAGTGATTAGGTATAGGTTGGCTACTGCCTACAGTTGGCAGAAGTCTTATTCAGACAATAAAAACCGGCCCTTAGATTTTGATGTTGGTTACCAAGTCTATTTGAAGATACACCTATGAAGGGGGTGATAAGGTTTGGCAGGAAGGGGAAGTTGAGTCCAAGGTGTGTTGGGCCATACGAGATCCTACAGCCTGTGGGTGAAGTGTCCTATGAGTTGGCATTGCCTGCGGAGCTAGCTTCTATTCATCGAGTCTTTTATGTCTCTATAATTAAAGAAGTGCCTAGGTAATCCAGCATCGATTCTACCTTTTGAAGGTTTAGGGGTCGAGGAGGACTTATCTTATGAGGAAGTACATGTTGAGATTTTAGAAAAATAGACAAGGAGGCTAAGGAACAAGAAGATTAACATTGTAAAGGTATTGTGGAGGAATCATCTTTTTAAGGGTGCTACGTGGGAGGCCGAGGCCAATATGAGATCCCTCTACCCTCATCTTTTCAATCCTTGAGGTTAGACTTCCTACTCAAGTCTATGTTACCTTATCTCTCCATTCTCTGTTGCTATTGCTTGTTTGTGAATAGCATTTATGTTATGGTTTGACTGGCATTACACTAGATAGTAAGTAATGTCATTCGGGGATGAATGTTCCTAAGGGGGGATAATGTAACAACCCTAAAAATGGTTATGTTAAATAATGCTTAATGTGTCTAGAATGCCTATGATTAGACCGGGTTCACAAGAATTGATGCGCGTAGAACCAGACCTCTGAACCATTGTGAAAGCCAATCCAACTAACTTGGGGAGTTAGCTGAACTAGGTAAGATTTGTTCCAGCCATGTAGGGCTCCCGAATATGCAGATTTAACCGAATAAGTCTTTACCTAATTTAAAAAGGAGAAATCATAAGTTTGGAGGGTGTAGGGGTAGAATGGTCTTTTTCCAGTCTAAGGGTAGTATCGTAATCACCCTAAATATGTAATAAATTATTTAATTAAAAAGGTGAAGGTGTATTTTGTGGAGAGAGGGCCGAAAATTTGCCTTTGAAATGAAGTCTTGCTCCACCCAAGTTCGAACCTAGGTGGAAGCAATGATTGAAATTTTTTTTATTTAAATTGGTAATTAATTTATTTAATTAATATTTATTGGTTGATTTAAAATAAAAGGGAATCAGATCTTATCATTTAACTAAACCTAATTAGACTAAGTCCTAAACTAAACTCCTAATCCTAAGAAAACTCTCCGTACTCACGTCTATCTCTCAACACACGATAATTGTCTCTTCTCTCATTCATGTTCTCTATGCCTAAACAACTACAAGAACAGAAAAATTAATAAAGTTCTTCACACTTGAAGAACTTACAAGAAAAATATACACAAACAATTTAATAAAAAACGTAAGGTGTTCCGTCGAATTTGGTGTTAAGCTTTCGGTTAGGACTTGTTTTTAGAGGAGTTCTTTGGGCAGAAATTTGACGTTTGAACGTCAAAAAAGTATGGTACTCTTCTCTCTTTGTCCCTTTCCAAAGAGACTTCTATGTTTCAGACGAATCTATTCCGAAAACTAGGGTTGTTCCCCGTTGCATGTTCTTATCAATAGCTCCCATCGAATCATAGGTTGGGTATGTTTGCTGGTAGAAATTAGGGATGTAAAGTGTTTTCGTGATGATAATATTTATGTGTGTATGTTTGAAATTATGTGAATATTGAGCATGTTGTCCGAAATTATGTGAAAATTATGTGTCTGCAATGTGTAGGCGTGATACACACTCTTGGATTTAAGTTCAAAAAATGACATGTTTATGATCGTATTTCATGTGCACAAACTTGCATAAATTGTTATGTTCATAAGTGATGTAAAAATGCTGATTT